CAACCCCGCTGACTGCTGCTCCACTTCCCTCTTTATGCACAGACGGAGTTGTCGGAGCAGAGTACGAACCCGTGCCACATCAGTGCAGAGGAGTACTTTGACCCGACCTGTGACCTTGGTGACCGCGACATTGGCCGACCCCGCTCCACATCGGTCAAAACGCAGAAACTCAAGGTCAGTCGCCAGCTGGACGTGTCGATGGAATTATCAGAAGAGTAGGTCATTGAGGGCGGGAGCCATTGGTATTTGGTTTTCGCAATTTGTGCTCAGGTCAAATGTGAGCTCATTGCAACATAGTTACGGCAGCATCGCACGACATGTACAATGCGTGTCAAGTAATATATAAGTCTTAGTTGGCTTCCAACTAGCTGAGAGCAAAAATTGAACGTTATATCTGTTTTTAACCACGTTTTTCTTGTTTGCTCATGGCCCTGAAGTTTTGCGATGGTTCTGTATATATGCTTTTTTTCTCCAGGCGACGCTGTGGCTGTGCGAAGAGTACCCGCTGAGCCTGCAGGAACAGGTGATGCCTATTGTGGACCTCATGTCGATACAGTCGACACACTTCGCCAAGCTGAAGGAGTTCATCCAGATGCAGCTCCCCGCCGGCTTCCCCGTAAAAATAGGTGAGGCGACCCAATCGCGAATCGTTTTCTGCTACATTGCCTAAAAATCGTTACAGATCGGACTTTGGTGTAGTTGAGTTTTTAACTACGACTTTTTAACTAACTTGGTATCAGCTGTGATTGTCCGAAGCTGTACAGCTATATGCTATAACATCTGGTCAGGGTACTTGCTGACTCGTTCCTCTCTGCCGCTAACATCCCAGGCTATTCCACTTGCTGAACTCACCACCCTTCCTCCTTTTGCAGAGATCCCGCTGTTCCACGTGCTGACGGCCCGCGTGACGTTCGGCAACATATTCGGCGTGGACGAGCCGGTGCCGAACGTCTCTGTACTGCAGGAAGAGGACCGGCTCACCTGTGTGGTCGATGACGCCGTGTTCGAGCCGCCGCCGGGGTACCGGAGTGTCGGTGAGAGGGGGAGGAAAGATCTGGCGAGGAGGGCGTAAGGGAGGATGAGAGGGTTGCTGGGAGACCAGAGAGAAGAGAAGGTTTGAGAAGCCAGTGTGATAAATGGTGTGAGTGGCGCCTTGAGCAGGAGGGAATTTGGTGAACTTTCATTTACTCGTAAATAATTTTGCCACAGATCAAACTCTGTGCCTTGACATCTGTCCACACCCGTGTCCCACCAATAACGCGCTCACTTTGTGCGTGTGTGCGGGCCAGGCTCTGGTGTGCTGCGGCACTACGGCGGGCCGGACGAGGAAGACGAACTGTTACAGATGGCCATCCAGCAGAGCCTGCTCGACTCCGGCACAGAGAACGAACAGGTAACGGGCGGGTCGCTGTGGTCGGAGTGTTACTATCTGGTGGCACGGGGTGATATAGGTCTTGTGAGCAGCTTGTGTCATTTTAAGCTACGTTGTATTTCCCTATCAGTGATTGATCTGCAGATTCAATATCAGCATCTGAATGACGGTTTTGCCCTTGGTTTCCTCTTGTTGTCACTATTGCCCTCAGTTTGAAATACTAAAATCAACGACTTTTCTATCCCAGTCACATCAGGATGCTCCCCTATCTCCCGTTTGGTCAGTAGACGTTTGGTCAAACTTCTTCTTTGTTCCTCTGTGGACATCAGGCTCTGATCAGCCCCCTCCCTCCCCTCCGCAGGTGGACATCTGGGAGGCGCTGCGGGCCGAGTCAGCCACACCGCGCGGCTGCCACCCGCCCGTCGACCTCGACGAACAGATGCTACAGAGGTACTGCAGCACGGGCCGCATGCCGCCGAGCCGCTCCTCCAAACTGTCTGTGCCCAACAGCGGCCGGCGCCGAAAGTCCATCTTTTGACGCGGCACGCCGGCGGCGGACGGGCCGGCCGACCGTCCCGCGCCGGGGACGGGCGGTCTGCGCCGGAGTCTCTCTGTGCGCGGCCCGCGCCGGCCGGCCGAGGGACAGGCCGCCGACAGACCGGGATCACAGGGCGGCGATAGTCTGGTCTCGCGCCTGGTCCGCACCCTGTCCCTGCGCCGCCGCCGCCGAGACTGAGCGTCTCTAACGGGCTCACAGGCGACACGCCGAGACCAAAAGTCCGGCTGAAGAGTAGCCGGGTTCCGTTTTTAGTCACACAGAGCTCTCGAAATTCCTCTAGATGTATAAGCACTAGCAATTGATGTAGCTGACTTCGCTTCTTCTAGTTCACGACGTATAGGCGTTTTCAGTATCCTCTGAAGCATATTTTGCTTTTCCTAACAGTCGTAATTCAGATAATCGTATGAAAGACGATATCTCACGCATCTAGTCGTATTCAACTGCAAAGAAGCACGTAGGCTAAGCATTAGCTCCTTGTATCGACGAAAATTCACGTATATCGTCTAAGGGCTATAAATGTAGTCAGGGCCCCCGCTAACTCCCTATGTCCATCTGTGGTCCTGCTGCTTGTATTGTGGACTGATATTATTTTGCTACTTTGCTTTCTAGTGGTCAGCTGCTATGCAACTAGAAGCCAGTCACAGCAGGCACTCTTGCAACGTAATTAATATAACGTAGTCACACTTAACACTTATTTAGTATCTTGCCGTAATTAATCAGATTAATATTTAGCATTAACAGTTTGTATACTGTATATCGCAACTGTCGTGTCGTTCGTTCACACCCTGTATCCCCCCTCCCCCCCCCCCCACATCACCCACCCTAGCAGCAGCTCCCTCTCCGGGCCCCCGTTGGCCGGACCGTCAGTCACGCCCGCTCTCTGCCGACACAGGGCCATACAGCTGTCCCTGTGTCCGGACGGGGGCGGCGGCGGAGGGGGCGGCGGGCCGGCCCCGGTCACCCCGGCCAGTCCCGACGACCCGGCGCTGGCGGCGGCGCTGGAGCTGTCCCGGCGCGAGGACGCGGCTGCCGACCTCCGCCGCCGACAGGAGGAGGAGGAGATGCGCAGAGCCATCGAGCTGTCGCTGCTCGAACAGTGAGTGGGGATGATCGGACGGCTGGAGAACCTGCTGGAGCAGTCAGACAACCTGCTGGAACGGCTGGAGAACCTGCTAGAACGGCTGGAGAATCTGCTGGAGCGGCCAGACAACGTGCTGGAGTGGCAGGAATTACTGAGTCCCCACTGGAATGGTGGGGAAGCGAGAAATTGGACTGGACCAGAATGAGACATCAGCTCGGCAATACCGGCAAGAGATCGCGCTAGAACGAGGCCTTGCGAGTGAGCGAAGTTAACCTCGATGGATCAGTGATGAGTGGGGTTAGAACCTGGAACAGCCATAAAGCGCCCGGCGCCTCCCGCACAGCCGGACCGGTGTCTGTAAGAGGTCGATGATATCCATACGGACAACCATTGGCTCACCAGCGGCCTGTCAGAACACCACGGGATGTGTGGGCCAGCCATCAGTAAACCTGGGTCGGCAGAGCGCGGAGTGCCGACAGCAGAGGATGGGAGGCGTCGGTCGAGAGCGCCCGCAGCGGAGGACCCGCAGAGGTTTGCTCAATGACCGACCGAGAGCATTCGTTTTTGCTATTTATTCGCATATTCATACCAAAGCCAGTGCTATCATATAATGAGTGTTGTGTGTGTACGTATGTATGGCCTGTTGAAGTGAACTGACGCCTAGCTTGAGACAAACACGCTACTTATCCGCTGGCGGGGCCGGGGCCCTTCCGAACGCCTTTGGTCTCCACGGGCCGGCGCTGGCAGGCGTCGGAGCCAAACTATCGCGTACTAAGATCACTGCCGAACCGGGGGTGACGGGCGCTGTCGTGTGGACCCGGGGCGGTCGCTGTGGGCATCGTTCGGCGGGCGGGCGAGGCGAGTGGTGTCCCTGGCAATGTGTGCTGGCTAGCCTGACTGTGATGGCAACTGTCGACCTTATTATGTACCCCCCCCCCCCCTTCCCTAACGTCAGTCAATACATGCTGACAACCCCTAAATAAGTGTTTGGCAATGGCGTTAACAAACATCGTGAATGGCCATTTATTTTTAACTTTTTTATAAATGCGAACGAACAAGCAACGCCAAACACCGAATGGATGCAGCAGACGCCACAAATGGTAACGTAAAACACACTAACAGAAACAATCACAAACTGCGGCAGTAACAGCCAAGGACAAAAATACAGCATGTATGCGAAATAACAGTTTGAGTTTGGACGGATCCGGTTATCATCACATGACCTTGGCATCAGACAGGTATCACCGAAATAACACATTATTCGATCACATCGCCGTCACATCGTCGATAAATACAAGACAGTACAGTACTCACATTTCACACAATCGTACAGTAGGTACCCGTCACCCCAATGTGGCAACGTCTATCTGCGCAGTATGTCGCAATAAGTTCGCGGTAACCTAAAACGTCTTATTTTATACAGGGTGACACAAAAAAAACGGTCATCACCAAAATTCGAATAACTTCGGAAGTTTTATTCAGATCACCACCAAACTTCGGCCACTTTAGGTCACACCTATGTAGCAGACATCCACCAAGTTTCAAGTCTTCACTACGAATACTTTTAGTACAGTGTGTGTTTTACGGACGCTCCACAATGTGCTCCAGGTGAGCGCCCCGGCGCTGCAGGGCGTAGGCACACCTGCATCCGGCGGGCAAAGTTGTCGATAACCCGATAAGAATAACGTTTCAGGGGTAGCACACCCCCTGAGCACTGTCTCCAGAGGCCATTGCACTCTGTAAAGTGCACAGCCATCGGGTTATCGACAACTTTGCCCGCCGGATGCAGGTGTGCCTACGCCCTGCAGCGCCGTGGCGCTCACCTGGAGCACATTGTGGAGCGTCAGTAAAACACACACTGTACTAAAAGTATTCGTTGTGAAGACTTGAAACTTGGTGGATGTATGCTACATAGGTGTGACCTTAAGTGGCCGAAGTTTGGTGATGATCTGAATAAAACTTCCGAAGTTATTCGAAATTTGGTGATGACCGTTTTTTTTTGTGTCACCCTGTAGCTGAAAAAAACCCATATGTCTTAGAATGAGATGAATGTCTTGAATATGTCAAGTCCATACGTCATGCCCACACGACCAAATATCTTTGCGTGAAACCACACATCTTGTCTAATAATGCCCGAACTCGTTAGTCATCACCATTGTCGTTAACCACTTGTCCATCTTCCGAAACATTAGCAAACTAACTTCTCTCACAACTCATCTTTCTCGCCCAGCCCGGGCGCTGTGAAAGCCTGCAGGGCGTTCAGCCTGGCCTCCATCTCGGCCCGTTTCTTCTGGGACAGCTTCCCTTCCAGCAGCGCCTTCAGTCGGTCCTCCTCCTTCTGCACGAACTGGTGCCCCTTTTCCATCACCTCCTTCATCACGCGCACGTAGTATCGCGCCGCATCCTTCCTCCTCCCGGGCGCCGAGTCCACCAGCGTCTCTGCCTCCTCCAGGAGGGCTGTGGCGGGCTCTGAGGAGCCGACAGCAGACACCAGCCGGCCGGCCAGCTCGTCCAGCTCCGGCAGAGTGCCCGGCAGCGGCAGCGCCACGCCCGCCGACCGGACGAACCGGCGCAGCGCGCTCTCCTTGATACTGCCTGTGAAACGAATGGCCGGCCGACCGTCCTGTGGGGAGGAATCTCAGTGTTATAGGAGTTCAAACTGTAATTATCAACAATAAGCGAGCAGTAGTCTTCTAACAAAATGCACAGAATACATGACTGATCAGAGTACAGTGTCAGCAAAGCATAACTATATGCTGTGTTCACAGTGACAAGAAAGGCAAATTGTGAAATAAACTGGTCTGGACAGTTTCAAAGGAGGACTTACTGGAAAATAGAGTTGTACAACTGGTAGCTCCTCCTTTGAGATCTTGAATTTCTGCAGCATATCTTGGTTTTCAAGATCACCATAGTCCTTTACTCCAACCTGCAATTGCCATGGTCACAGTTAGACAATTTCACATAAGTATCCAATAGAATCATGGACTCATGAACTCTTGCATAAAAACAAACAGCTTAATCAGACACATTTCTTTTTACTTTTTATTTAGAATGACCAATGAACAAACAAATTAAATACATATCAATTTATCATTTCATACTAATACTTACCTCTGCCACTAAGAAGTCATCAATGTCTGCACTGCTGGATGCTAGCTTGACAAATTCATCATGCTCAGGGCCATATGGGTAGTAGGTGTCAAACTTCATCAAAGTTGCTTTGAATTTTGAAGTTATCTGTAAACATGGTATATTTTATCTGTAACTAATTTATCACCATGCTATTTCATTCAGATCTTCATTGAGAACAGCCACTAGTCATGCTTGAACCTACTGATAGATGCTTATATATTGCATTATAAATAATTTTAACCACCACAAAACTACATAGCATATTTGAATTTCGCCTTTGCACATTTCTGTAAAATCCAGCACAAAAAAAACTATGGCACCCAATTTGAGATGTTTAAGCTGAGATGCTCATTGCACCTTTAACTGAATCATGAATGGATGAATTATTAAGTGTAACAGTACAGCAGAATCTGCTTAAGGCTTTATTAATGGAGTCAGTTATGTTTCTACAGAGGTCAGTGAACAGCTCAAGTGGACACAACAAGCGGCTGGATTGTTTATCCGAGGACTTATTAAGCAGGTTCTACTGTTGTATTACATTAAACATGAACAAGTATTGTACAGTATAGGTATGTTTAATCCATGTTAGTGAGCCAATGTCAGAAAATTCATATCGGCACCACAGGAAAATGGAGAATTTCATCCTTGATTGGAATAACACCCATCTATGCAAAATACCACAGATCAAATTGTCAGCTGATTGTTAACAATTAGGCATTAAGGAATGAGGATTTCACTAAGTAAATGAATAATTATGTCAATGTTCATACCTTGTCAAATGATGCTGAATCAAGAGGTGTGAGTCCACGACCATTTAGGCAGCAGGAGCGACCAACAAGAGCCAAGAAGAGAATTAATAAGCTAAACATTGTTGACTATCTGATTTGGGCTATGCTACGAAAAGCAAATCCGATGGGTTAGGTGACACGGATAATGTAAGTTGGAGTCAAAACTTCCCAACACTTCAAGCGAGAGAGGCCACAGCGCGACTGACATGCACCGTATCGGAAGTCTAATCATTATGTTCGATAACAAAAGTATGGAGTGATGTTGCCAGGAAACTTGTCACGAGTCACTTCATCTTAATCTAGTTGCTAGGCAACAAGCAAGTCTTGAGCTCCGCATCTGCAGAACGATATAATTTGAACAGTCAAGTTTTGACTCAGTTGCGCCATCAACGTCGCTTTTGCTTTTTCTTCTCTATTGCTCCCTGCAGATCAGCGGCGACCGGAGAACTTTCGAATCTGCTGGTTGTGGTGAAAGACGTCAAAACTTCTGCTGGAATAATTCGGCGGAGCGGTTGCGAGAGCAGCATATTCGGGTCGGCCGAATGTTTGCCTGGTACCTGCTGCTAGATTTGGACATCTGAATGTCTACCATCGATTTTAACACTTGGTCAATATCAACACGCTCCCTCCCGAATCTACTCCGACGCTAACGATCTTGGCTCTCAGTGAGCGCCAACGCCCCGTGACATTCAGCGCCGCTCCTGCTTACCACCATTCGTAACGTTATAGCAAGAATCACACACGGATCAACTTTCCCTCTTGCTCGAAAAAGGTGCTTCATTACCATTACATATTCTATGTGTCAGTGCATAGTTACCTAGTCGATGCCAGAAAAAAGCATAAGTAGACATACTCGGCTATATTTTCACTCACACCAGTCACCAGCTCAACAACTCCGAACCGATTCGGCGGGCAAGGGAGATCCTCACACGGGCTTTTCGCTATCGGTGATGGGTAGTGTCATGTCACCGGATTCGTACACCGTATGGTCAAGGGGCCGCCTAAAACCTCATGCTTCTATAGACCTTCAAAGCCGCCGAACCTAACGTCCCACCACTGGCAGGTCATGCCACACAATACGACGGTCTCCCAACTCCCCGCCGCCATTCAACCAGTTCCTCATCCACTCGTCCACACCACACAGTGGCGAGAGCGGCACATCCCAACCACGAGAGCCCGCACGGCCAGCCGGTCGGCCAGACACAACAGTTTCCCCTCGACTCCACTGATTCAGAGTGACGCGAGTCTTCACAGCAGCACCATTGTCGTCGCCATGGCGTGAGAGAGCACCGCGACGTGTAAAAGGGGAGAAAGATGAGCGCTCGACGCGTCACCCAGCCACAGCAGTACCGCACCAAACCACAGCTAGCAGGGTTGTGGCACCGCCTGGTACTCGCCGACATAACACACATCGCTGCGCGGAACTGACCCCAGGACCTCATCACGTGACTTTCCATCAGCGGCGTGGGTAATCACTAATCACGCAACACCGCTCCAAAATCAATTCCATCAGCACGTGATCTGGCCTTGGTGCCAGCGGCTGGGCTTCCGTGGCCTGTTCCGGATCAACCGTGTGTCAGACCACGTGACTCTGTCACATCTCGCCGCGTGTGTCACAGCGCTGATCACGTGGTCTCCTGCTCGAGGACAGACGAGCTGTGCGCTAGGTCCCAGTAGTGCTCCACTCCGGCCTTCCTGAAGTACTCGCGAGCGAAACTCTCGTTCGGGCACAGCTTGAAAGTGATTTTGCCGAAGTTCCGCTGCTTCGTGGTACCCTGTGACGGACAAATCGATGTTCAAACTTTTAACGAAAAGAAATAGAAGTTTTACAGCGTAAATTACGGGATGTTACTATCCTGTGGTAGGATAATGACAAGTTTGGAATAAAAAATATGTCGAGCATAATATTTTCACAAACATTTATCAATTTGTTATACAAGCGTGAATGAGAGTGGCAAGAACGCAACGCTGATGAACAAAAAGTAACTTGCCTCCCAGATCAGGGTGCATTTGTTTTCAGCCTCTTCGTCCTCCTTTCCTTTCACCATGTCCTCTTCCCACTTGATCCTTTGGAGCATCAACCTGTGAAAAAGATTCATGCAAGTGTACAATTTTCACTGTGAGGACAGCTAACAGCATGCGAAGTCATATTATCGTGCGTCTTTGAGTCGAGAAGTACTCCAAATGACACAATTGAGTTACATCCGTTTCGTGAGATGGGAGCAGTTACGAATCAGACCACTGAGGCACCTGATACAAACCGTCAGTGAGAAAGCCAGCGTTTGCTCACCTTTTGTACTTTTTCTGCTGCTTGGGCCCGCCCTCGACCACCACCACGTTGACGTCCTTGAAGAGGACCACGGCGCCTGTCATGAACAGCTGGTTGGCGTTCGTCTCCACCTTGAACTTCTTGGCCTGGTTAGACAGGTCCGTCACCCTGTGGTACACAGAAACACCTTGGTCAGAACGGCAGCAGACACTCCTCAACACGACGATTGTTGAATACAGAAACTAACCGGGAATAAGAGACGGAACAAAACTTAGCGATATTACAACAGCTGACGTCACATTTGGTTTGAAAATTCCAATTTCACCCTGTTAAAGCGTTGATGTGTGCTGGAAATCAAAGCTAATCGAGATAAAACAGGACGTTACAGAACAGATAACAGCTCAACCTCGCCCAATATGGACTGTCTTCTAGCTTGGCCTTGTGGAACGAACTCAAATTGCTACCGATGAGCCACCCCTCCCGGCACCGCAGCTCGGCTCACCTGTATATGGCCACGTGCACCTCAGTGGTCGTGTCCTCCTTGATCTTGTTGATCTTCTTCTCCTTGCGCTGCTCGGTAGTGAGCTTCCTCGCCGCGTTGGCGTCTTGGTGCTCCTTCTGACGCTTGGCCATCTGAGCCCGCACGTGCGCCTCGATCTTGGTCGGGTCTTGGATGGCCTCGTTGCCCAGCACACGCATCAAGTTGGACATCCGCACCTGGGGTTGAACGGCATGATCAGTTTGTTGCGTCACTTGGGTCATGTGCAGGGGGACGTGACTGGATACGTTACAATTGTGAGCATTGTGATCTACAGTAATTCTTGGATGATAACGCAATCATATTCAACGAAGGGTCAAACTGACAACTGCACTGCAGACCAGCTAACATTTTCAAGTTAAGCCATCGATGACCTGAGAACAGCAGGCTGCACTTTAGTCAGTGAACAAAATATTATCTTCAAACTTAGCGAGAACTATTCAGTCAAAACCCCCAGCCCTTGACCCATTCTACCCCATCCGAATGACACATCCTAACTCTCAAACCAGAACATAGATCCGAATCCGATCAGCCCCATCTCCGTACCTTGGGCTCGGGAGGCGGCTCCAGGCCGAGTCGGATCTTCTCCTGTTTGTCCTTCCAGGCCTCGCGCCGGTTGGTGCGCCGCAGCTTCTTGCGCTCCTTCTTGGTGAGCAGCACCGGCAGGAACACGTTCTTGTCACCGTCGGCTGTCGGGAGCGGCGTGATCAGGTCAGTGGGCAGGTCAACTGGTGTGTCACGGTCGGTGTGCCAACCGTAATTCGAATAAGAAACCGTTAGAAAGGCAATCTGGAGGCGGGGTTCACTCGGAAAGCAAGATTGAGCTAATATTAAATCAACAGACAAAGCTAAAACGGAAAGTTGAAAAGAGAAGAGAAACTTTTTTCAATATTTCGGCATATTAAGTGAATACAAGAGCATGAACAGGCACCAATAGCGCATATAATCATATTTCACCGCGCGCAGTATGGCTACCCCACTACCTCCCACCCGTCCCCTCTCCCGTGTACTGACTGGGCGGCGCCATCTGGGCGGGGTGCTCCACCAGACTGGTGATGCCCTCGTAGCGCTCCTCCTCGGGTTTCTGTTCGGCCGCCTCGTACGTGTCCGTCTGGGTGACCACCTGGTCCCACCACTCGATCTGCGGCGGCCCGCCGGCCACCGACGGCTGCCACGTGGCCGGACGGGGGGCCACCATCGCCAGACGCATCGCGGACGAGATGCCCGTCTTGCGCGCGATCTGGGAGATCTCGCTCTGTCGACACAAAACGCAAGATTTGACGCGTGGGTCGATATTTCAGTCAAAATGAGACGAATAACATTAGTCTCATTATCATCTCCACCAAGCTGTTTGATTATTACAATCAAAATCCACTGAATGCCTTAAAATCAGCCACGATGCGTTCCCAGCAGCATTCCCAATCTAACGTCTAATTGGTTCATAATCTCTACTACATTTAACGAGCCGTGAACGCAGTCAAACGAGCTTCGTTTCAACCATCCCCATCCACCCATCCTATCCCCACTTACCTGCAGTTTCTCCAGCTGCGCCTTGGTGCGCATCCTGGCCGCCACCTGCTGGAACTTGCCCGGCTCGTGGAAGTTGAACGCCCTCCGGCCGCGGGTGGAGGGGCGCAGCGAGACGCGCGGGTCGAAGAAGGCCGCCTCGCTGACATCCTCTGTGGGCCGCTCCTGCAGCTGCTGCCGAAACTCGGCGCGGCGCTTGGCACGGATGTTCGCCTGGGCACGCGCGTGGAATATGCAGTCAGAGATGGGTGGTAACGTCGTATCATCATGGGGCGACCTTCTCAAACACTCCCAGACGTTTCTTATCTACGTTCCTTGACAGGATGACTATGAACAAAAATAGCACAGAGGCAGTACGCACAGAACAAATTGATACCTACAAGTAGCCTGAAAGCCCTACCGATTCGTGATGTAAATATGACGCCCATAAGACATAAATGAACCAACCAACGTACAATACACCGCCGTCCACTAGCTTACATCTACTCAAAGTGCACTCTTCATGCAAATACACTTCACATATTTCATGAACGAACATTTCTCGAGCCTAAACCCTACTCAAATCCCAGAAATAATGCAGCCATTCACACTCTCAACATCACCCAATTCACCGCAGTCCCAAGTTCACTCACCTTCAGCGTGGGCAGCCGAGCGGCGATCTGCACCTCGTTTCCCGAGGCGTCCACCGTGCGGCCACTGTCGTCCAGGATCAGCGGCCGCGGCTTGTCGGCAGGGTCCGTGGAGCGCGCCGGCAGGTTCGACAGCTTGGCCGCGATCTCAGCCTGTGTGGGAGGTGAAGGTGCGTTGAATGAGTGGAAGGAAGGCAGAGAGACAGAGAAGAACGATGCTTACTACTAAGCCTCGTGAAAACAAAGGCAGCGCTTCAATAGAAGTAAAAAAAAACCTGCAAAGTAAGCATAATATGCTTCTGAATAAAACGGTACTGATTGCTAGTTGATAATTGTTTTCAACTTAAGTCCAATTAATCAACCAACAGAGATCGATATAAAAGAGAATATAAACGTATGAACAAGACCGACACAACCACAGACCGAAATCCTATAGCCTAGCCTGCCCCCTCTCACAAGTACATCAGCCTTTCCTTCACTGGTCGACTCCACGTCTCACCCATTTACCACCACTACATCCATCAACTATCCTCACCTGCAGGTCGGCGATCTTCTTGGCCTTGTCAGCGAACGGCGAGTCGATGGTGCCCCCGCCGGCTCCGAGCGCCGGCTGCGGCAGCGCTGCGCCCATCAGAGGGTTCGGCGTTCCCATCAGAGGCGGCGGCGGCGGCCCGGCCATGAGCGGCGGCGGCTGCGATATCAGCGGCGACTGGGCCGCGCCCTGAGACTGCAGCGCGCCCAGTGTCTTCTTACGCATTTCTATCATTTTCTGGGCATTTGCCATCATCTCCTTTATCTGTAGATGAAAGGAGACGAAGAATGGTAAGAACGTGGGAAAGGGAACGTCAAGGGTACATCAAGGGAAAATCGTTAAATGTATATTTTACGGTAACCGTCAAAGTTTTTCTCTTCAATCCCCATGTGGTATTATCGCAATGACGCATGTAAATTTTTGCACTTTGTACTTCAAGAGCCAACCAAGTCGATAGTGGCCTCGCTATCCAACCGACCTACCTGCTGAGGCGTGAGCGGCGCCTTGCCGCCGGCCTCCCCCGCCCCCGCCGCCGGAGGCACCGCGGGGGCGGGGGCGGGGGCGGCCGCCGGCTGGTCCCAGCGCATTTTCTTCGCTGCGCCATTCTGGGGTGGGTCGGCAGCTGGGGCGGCGGGCCTCTTGGCGGCAGGAGTCGTCTCCGCGGCGGCTGAAGACCGCTTTGATGAGTATTGTGGCCCCAACCTCTTCTCTTCTAAGGTCTCATAGAGACGTGTTGTTAGTTTATTCGCCTTTGCTGGGTCAACCAAAGAAGAGAGCTTGCCTGGGAAAGAAGTCAGCATTGGTTGGTTAGGGAACATGGAAAATAGATGCATGCGATTCGATAAAAATGGAGCACATCACCTGGTAGCAAGCTATGACAGCTGGTGGCATCTCACCCAGGTAGCCAAAAAAACTAGCATTATAAAAGGAAGCTACCACCTTTAAAAATGGATGAACTTCTAAACCACCTGGAAGGCACAACTCCTCACAGAGCAAATACCTTATGTTGTGCCAACAAAAAAATCTCTGTTTTACTTACTGATTGTTTTGTCCTTGGTATACCCAGCATTCACATAGGAAATTAATGTAGATACCACAGCTGACTCGCCAGAGCCAAGATATTTTCTGGCTGCTTTCTCTGCATAATATTCTACTCCTTTTTTGGAGGAACTAGATGACATTTCTTCAGAGGTGTAGAATCTTCTTTAATATGATCTGTAAAAGGGAAAACAACTTGATTATTTGACAGAATCATCCATGAAGCCTCACACATGTTGTGACTAAAATTGAAAAGCCAGCAATAGCTGCACTCCACACTAATCAATGGCTTTTAATTGCAGTCACATCACCAACCACATGCCATCTAGTTCTCAATAATCTTTCATCTAAAATGCTTTAGGCACTCCTGGAAAATTTCATACCATGTGTCTAGAAAACAATAGCTAAGTAAGTACCTACCTATCTACCTATTTTGATTTATGGTTAAGTGCAAACCAGAAGCTTCTGTACTAAATGAACTCTTCTTTAAGATTTGTATAAGATAAAGCAACAGGAGAAAAACCTGACAAATTGTATTGGCATTCATGAAAGGATGAACTTAGTAGTCAATGCAGATTTAAGCTCAATTTTAGAACATAAATATAAATGTCTATCTACATCTGTTCCACACAGCTTACTACTATACCTGCCTTTTGAACCCTTTGAAAACTGGAGAAATTCACAAAATAGAAACATCTTAGGAAAAATGCATCCTCCTTAGATTTGAAATTGATAGAACACAAGTCTGTCCAATATCAAGCATTTTCATTGACTGCCTGTCAGCTTAGACAAGTGTCTAAGCCAGCCATTGATCTAAGATGTCTGAAAATTATGCATTTATTTACAAACCCTGTTTTTAATTTGCTTTTGATACACCTTTACCGGCTCAAGAGTTCATCATATCGGGAGCTGGGCTTTCTATTCACAATGAATGCCAGAATACACGATTATTTTATAACATGCCGAGATGAGGCAAGTCAGTTGGGCAAACTAGGCGGCGGGAATCAAAATATGGAGGCATCAAAATATTGATTCTAGTGGGCGGAGCTTTGACCATATATGGGCATAGAATCAATATTTTGATTCAATTTGGGACATTCCCACCTTCAGACGACCCGTTACGGCGGAAATAACCCCCATGACGGCGAGATTTTTTGACAAGTCAAAACAAAAAACTTCCCCGCTTCAATTTTTCGCTGCATGGCTATCAGCCGTTTGTCGCGCGTACCTTTACGAATGGCACAAAGATTTCGCCGCCATAATTCAACAAAAACGTGCTGTTAAAACTTGCTCTGTTTATCATTAACGACGAGCCTTTGTAATTTTTTCATAATTTTGTCTAAAAGAAAATAAAAAATGAGTTATTTAGTTGTATAATTCATTTATAAGAAATATTCTTTTACTTTGCATCTAGCCACGATTTCCGGTTCCCGCCATTTCGCGCCGGCGTCGTGGGTGTGTGGATGCAACGTAGTGCTCCCGGTTTTATTTTGTTTAAGCGACCTTTTCTGAAGTGTAAGTAACAATGGATCATATTTTAAGATACTTTGAAGTGTGTTTTTCAATTTCAGGCATGTGATCTTAACGTTTCTTACCGAAAACTCGTTTTAAGAGATGGTTTTAGGAACATGGCGCGGTAGCGACGTCAGCGGCGCGGGACGCCTTCGCACTCTTCTATTGTCTTTTTAAGCTATATTTTTTTGAAAATGATGTCTTAGGTGTAGTATTTCAGTGAAATATGATGTCCTTTAAAAGTTACGGTATAAATTAGTTACAAGAAGCCTAATGTTTTGTCTCACATGATAGAATTGTTGGGTGGACTCATGAAATGGGGGCAGTGCATGTCCAGTATTTTACATAATTTGGATGTTTTAGCCTCTGCTTGTGTCTCACTCATCCAATTGTTGCTACAACTTTAATTTGTAGCATTTAAATTTTTAATGGCAACTAGGTTATTGACTTGTTCCGAGTTAAGATTGAAAGGTCGTAGTGCATGTTCGTGTTTGCCTTATCTAAATAGTAGGTATGTATGCTTGGCTTGTAATTGCTTTGCCCATTTTTGCTACATATTTAATGATGCTTACTTTAAGTGTAACAAAAGCAAGTTGCTGAATGGTGTAAGCCATATTTACATTATGCGTGATCTTCAAGAAAATTGTGTCTAATGTACGGCTGTCCAGGGAATGCTGGATAGTTAATTTTCAGGATTGTCCATGCCAAAGTTAATTTTAGAGGCCAGTTTTATCATCACAAATAGCTGCCTGCTAGAATTTTTTTGCCTAAAGACTGCTTCACATATGGAGCGTTAACATGATGGGCACGTAAACGGATAGGGCTGTACCGTTCATGCTCTGTATGTGAAGTAACTTTAAGACAAAAAAAAAATCCAGCAGCCACCTATTTTTCTGTTGGTACAACTGGCCTCAGGGCTCAGATCTACTTTTTTGGCAGAATTTATATAACTGCATGAGATGACAGTTGTTGGCGCACCTGGTGGCGTTCAGTGGAAATTTAAGTGACATTAAGTATTTAATTTTTTATTGAATACATTCTAAAATTAATAGTTGCTGAACAAGGGGAATAATAACACATATAGTTTCCTAATTTATTGTCCACAAAAGTCCTAATTATTGTGTTCTGTTGTTTGCTGCAGGTCAACCAAGGATCAAACACTGGTCGTTGCGGGGATCGGCTTCAGAGGGCCAAGGAATGTCTTGAATCGCTGTTCAGTCGACAGGCAACTGTATGACAACGCCATCCCTGTCAACCAGAGCGTCGACCGAAGTAGGGTGGCGTTGCGCGGACCTGGCCGCACCCGACCAACCGGCGGAGTACCTGACTCGGGCTGGGCGGAGACTACCTACATCACGACCTTTTGAACTTTGATCTCGTGGCGAGAAACAATATGACTTAAGGAAGTGTGTATGTGGCTGGCGGGGCCGAGGGTGAAATGCGCCACGTGTTTATCCTGCCGGATGACGACAGTGTCACCAACCTGTCAAAGAACGAGCTGGTGCAGCGCGTGATGACTGCTATCTCGTCCCTAGAACCGGAGTAGAAAAACGTGCGCATAGCCCAGATGAAGCGAACCAAAACACAGACAGGACTGATAGCGTTTCGGTCGAGAATGTTCTGAAGATGCTGATCAGTAGACCAATTGGTGACCGTTTTCGGTGGTAATATGGGATCTTGGGGACTGGGGTGTTCCAAAGCGACCTGCTTTGGGTGTGGACATAAGTGGCTCAACCTGACAGGATTGATGTTTTAGGTAGCCGTGCTAATCATAAACCCTATATTGAGTGTATCTCTACAAATTTTGTTTATATTTATTTCATGTATTTGATTCGAAACCGAAAATTGCTCTTTGTAATTAGGCAACATCGAGACGTTGAGGTCATTCTCCAGACGTTTATTTGTTTTTTTCTTACCTGTCCACGGTATGTCTTATTGGTTAGGTCTCAGTTTCAAATATTATTAACTGCATGTTTTGCAAATACGTAGCTATATTGAATTAGAGACGTGCCCTAAAAGTGAGTATTGCTTTGCATGGGGTGTGAGCGTCAACGACAAGGCTTTGTGATGGTAAATGTGTGGCAATTGCAGGGATCGTTGTGAAATGTGTTATGAATATCATCGTATTATTTGCGAATGCAAATACATCCGTGTATCATATTTTCATTCAAATTGTGCAATTTGTGCAACGGGCTTGAGGATATTGTTCGGCGAAATATCTCCTACTGTACTCCACAGAAATGGGACGGGATACAGATGCGTAGAAACACATTCATGAACACGTGAAAGACGATAAGTTAACTTTTTTTTTTACTCAAAATCAATGCTACAAAGCAGGGATGTGGAGCCGTGAAAATGTCAGACGGCTTCGGCTCCGGAGGAAAAAATCGGCTCCAGCTCCTGCTCCGGCTCCGAGTAAAATGGTCGGGCTTCGGTTCCGGCTCCGACTCGGTACAACCCCTATACAAAGGTCAGCACGGCTCCCTTAACGCATTCCCTCGAAGGCTTGCAGCTTTGAGCAGGGAGCCAGGGTGAGTGCTGAAAATCCCTGGTCTACCGTGGGAATAAGGTCAAGAAAAAAATTACACGATCCTGTGCTGATAATATCTTCATGAATTTATTGAATTTGCATTATTTGCACACAAGAAACATCTCGTAAATCAATTTGAAGGGTGAAGTACGTCTGCAGAAAGTATGTTCGCAGAATCAATATATTGATAAACCAGCTGATTTCAGAATCAAAATAATGATTAGCCAGCTGTTTGCGGAATCAAAATATTGATTCTCGCCGGGATTAGCCGCCGTGATGAATCAATATCTTGATTATTTTCAAGACGCTTTCCTAAACTAACCAAAGAGGTTAGAGCTATTGTTTCGTGACTGGCGGGTAGCTTCAACGTTGCTCTTCATTTTGTGAAGAAACTATTTTGAAATTGTAGCCGGTTGCTGAATAATTGACGTTTCTGTGATGGTCTGCACGTATGCCCATATATGGTCAAAGCTCCGCCCACTAGAATCAATATTTTGATGCCTCCATATTTTGATTCCCGCCGCCTAGTTTGCCCAACTGAAGTGATTGTCCAATGTCATTCAAGACCTGCTGCCTCTGTCCAACCAAATTCTGAATTGGACAATAGACATTGGACAAAATCGGAATTCTCTGTCCCAACGTTCAAGTTCCAATTGGCACCACCAATTTACGTATTTCTGCACAAATGACAAAGTGTGCCTGTTAAGTTAGGTAGGAAATAAAAGCAAATGATTGTATGAGCAATTTTCTGGGTTATATGGTCTGTGACGATAGGCATGATTTTTGTTGAGTTTAAAGTCCACGGTGCAAAACGTGATTTTCACAGTCTATGCAGTTCAAGTTGATTGATGGGTAGGCACCTTATGATGATATTAACGGACGACGGTGAAAATTAGCCCACCACAACCAAGGACCACAACGAACTCAAACTATTTACAACACGCGTTGAGGCAGCAATTGGCGCACATGAGACAGTTTTAAACGAAACGTTTTGTGACACACACAAAGCAAAATATTTGACGTCAGTGATTTAATATGCCATTTGAGTAATTTTTATTTGAGGAAAGCATAGAAGGATGAGTCTCCAGTGAAGAACAATGAAATGTTAAATGAAGTTCAATTAAAAATTTTCTTG